TTGTTTTTAAATAGGAGTTGATACACCTTATAGTACACCGTGATACGGACCATAGTGTCCTTGGGTCCGATGTCATGTCTTTCTTCTTTGTCGGTTGTGTGGAGCACGTGGACTATTAGGCATTCCAACGACCTGTCCAAATGGCTACCAGTGGGTAATGACAGTTTAGATATGGCAACCCTGTTGTCATGTTGTCATTAACAGGGTCAATGATGCATATATAGTTATATAGATTGCTCAAAGCTGGTCATTTACGAGCGGCCATATTGCCTGGCAAATATTTATTAATTTGAATCGGTTTAGCAAAAATGTGTTTTAAAACCAATTTTTAGCCTTTAGATATTTAAAAAAAAATAATTGCTTACATTTTTACTTCAAGGCATAAGCTTATGTTTATTTTGAAAAATATGGATGATCAATCTATGTAACTATCTATTTCAAGGAGCGGCTAAATGCTGACCGGCGTGCACAGATTATTTATTTTACTTTTCGTCAGAGGGCGCAGCTACTGCTGATCATATTGTCAATTGTCGAACAAATAAGTTTGAATTTGAATTGTGTTGTTAATGTTGAAGTGCCATTTCCTATCTGCATTATCAGTTATTACCTGCACCTGTTTAGATTATTTAAGACGAAATACAATACGCAAACATATTCCTTTCATTTTGCTATATATGCCAGATAACAATTCTGAAGAAGCTGATGGTAAATATAAACAAAATAAATGTGATGAAGACAAGGCTGAAGTAAATACACATTTAGAGCATTTGGGACAAAATATTTCAGCAGAGGCAACAAGTTTAGGCACATTAAAAAATAAAATAAAAAATTAAATCAATTAGAAAATTCCTCTGATGAAAATGTTCTCAAGCAAGTTTCTCAATATTTGAAGAATGCTAATTTGCTCTTAAACTATGACAACAGCATTAGCAGAGTCGATATTCCTTGTGTAACCTCTGCAGAAATTAATGAGCCACCAAATAAAAAAATTAAAAAACAGCTGGTCTTCACCTCAACAAAAAAAAAAGCAAAAGGGCAATAATTATCAAAAAAAACCCAATTTAAATGAAAACGAAATTATTAGAAGTACTCTTAGCAGTTCTTTAGTTATTAGTAAAAGTAGTGACAATGATCATAATTATTTTTAATTTCTAATTTAAGGTTTTTGATTTTTTTTTAATATTAGTTGATATAGATTAAGGTTCCTTTTCCTAGTTAAATATTTTTTTAACTTAATCTGTAATGTATTTTATTTAAGACAAGAGAGGTAGAATTGGTATTATTATGACCTATCACTTTTTATTTGCCTAATTATTATTATTTTTTATGTTCCGACATCAATAGAGGTATTGAATGTTTCAATATAAATATATATTCATATTGATAGCAACGAATCTTTAATACATTAAAATATAAACTTTATGCATATCTTTCGTCTAAGACATATTAACACTATGTAGAATTTATGAGTCATACTCGGTGATCCGTAATGGTACCACTTAATTATTCTAATGTATGCTATAACTATTTGAAACTTTAATTTGTATTTAATTTTTACCTCATATGTAACATTTTTAAAATTGTGTTATATAGGTTATTTAGGTCTTATAATATGTTTGTACATTTTAAAATTTTTCTTATTCGAATGTGTCAAAAAACGTCGTTATTCGGACAGAAAACAGTTGAAAAGTAGAACTTTTGTATATACTTCATAAAGTACTTTATCGGCCATGCCTTCTCCTGCCGCTACAAGAGTATTATTCATTGCACAAAAGGACCAATTAGGCTTATTTTTATTCTAGACTCGAGACATACATTTTATTATTTACCATACACTCACCCTACCCTCAATATATATTTATTAAACAATTCTATACACAAAAAAGGATGAAACTCAATTTTTTAGAGACAATGATTGCCACAACTATTATTTCTATATTTTAATAAATTGACTATAATGATTTAGTGTTTTAATATACCATCAAAACCCAATATTATTATTTAAATTACTAACAAATTTGTAGTGATTTTATTTTTTAAAATAAATGAGTGAACTACTGATACATTTTATATTGGTTATTTTATTTATACCTACCAATAACTTCCTAATTAATGGGTTATTTATTAACTCACGTCTAACCCAGAATTAATAACAATAAAATATAATTTAAAATACAATTTTTGACGCACTGTATGGTGTGCAAGTCAAAATTATCAATTTAAAAAACCGCGCTCAAATACACGCCATCTAGCGGAAAACACAAAAAATAATATGTGCACGCTGGTCAGCATTTACGGCCATATGCACCATTCTTCTGTTAACAGTTATCAGAGAGTTAACTACATAACTGACTGTTAAATTGACAATTTGAATACAAAATTGTCAATTTAACAGTCAGTTATGTAGTTAACTCTCTGATAACTATTAACAGAAGAATGGTGCATATGGCCGATAGCCGCCACAGACCATACCCTTTAAAGATGGGCCACTCAACAGTGAAAAATTTTACTCATCTTTCAGCGCCATCCGTAGCGGTTGCAAATAGTTGAGTTAAAAAAAAAGAAGATAACTAATAATTGAAAATTTGTTCAAGATTTATTATATAGATGGCGGTAGGGGTCAATGAGAGCGGGTTTTTTAAACTCGGCCTTTCTAATAAACCACTACTAAGTTTTCAAAATTATAATTTTTCGTTCTTTTTTACTTAAAATGATTCAAACATTTTATTCTTCACTCAACATACTTAGATGGATATAATCCATTGGGTTATGTTCTGTGATAGATAAAAATTTGAAATATTTTAAGTAAAAAAGAAAACGAAAAATTATAATTTTGGATTTATGGAACAAAAAATACATCTTATTATGAAGTAAAACACGATTATAACCATATATTTTATATTATTAGAATTAAAATTGCACGAATTCTTATTACAGTACACAATAATAAAGAAATATGAATATAAAACTATTGCGAAGTTCACCCATGGTTGTATCCAGTAGAAGTTGTAACGAAAGTTCCTGGGGAAAGTTGGCTCTGGCTGCTGTTGGGTGTACTTTTCACTTCCTATTGCAGTGTTTGCTGATTCGTTTTCATGTAAAAAATGAAGAAGAGTATCAGTTAAAAAATATAAAGTTCAATTTTATTATTTTTGTTTTGAGTCAATTCAGCTGAGCTATTAATTTATTAGCTAGTGAGAATGAATCGGCATTTCTTAAAAATATATCGTAGAAGATTTTTCAATAAAATGAAGGAATTTGAATTTAGTAAGAATGCAACTTTTATTAATTGGAATCAATAAATTGTGAATATACCTAGGTGGTGAGGTAGGTCACAGTATATGGAGCAAAAAATAATAAGAGTCGCACAATATAAAATATACAATTATTGGTATATTTGAAAAGTACCTCATTTTGAATTCGGAAAAAAAATTGTATATAGGTATCTACTATAAAGTATCCATTACATATTGTATAATTCTAAAAAAATACTAATAACACTATTTATTTCAATCTTCTTAATATTCACATATTTTATCTAGTTACTGAAATTGTATAGAAAATGATAAAAGTTAGGTTAAGATTTTTAATTTTTCCTAGAAAACATTAGGTTACCCGCATTATTTTGGAAATTTATTTCACAAATTGGGTACTTTTAAGTAATAATATATGCTCTTAAAATTTGGCAAAGTATTTAAGAATAAAATACAAAAAGAAGTTTTTACTTGTAAAGAAATAAAATTGTAAATGTATTCCTTACCTGCGACTAACTTTATCCTGACAATCTGGATCAGCACAAGGACGAATTCGCACCATAATTATATATGTTTAAAGCTTTAAAAATTATCTTCGAAAAACTAACCTAATAAAACAAATCAACCATTACCATTATTGCCATTATTAGCGTTTTTTTAGCTGTTGAAAGTTTTAAATAACAACTTGCGTACACTTGCGTTACTCTGAACCTGCTCTGAATCTGCTCGACGAATGCAACGAGCAAACTTTGTGTAAGTAGCGCCATCTATGGGTGGTGCACAGTACTACAACACGAGTAAGCATTTCCCTATTAAAGATCCCCTAGCCTGATAGCCGCTCCTCTATTTCATTGACCTTGTCAAATCACCAGGCCTACAGGGTTGCCATAATTTTGCCATATCATAACTCATAACCCGTCAGAACCAATGAACTGGAGTGGGGTAGAAAGCTAATGTGCATATTGTATCAATTGAACAAGATGCGACTCTATGGGCGCAGCCATTTTTATTTCTCATCTCACTTGGGAGTATTTATAATAACCATTTTCTGTTTCACATTGTTATTGTTCAATCCACAGGCTGGTGGATCAGACAATAACAAAGTGAAATAGGAAATGGTCTTTATAAATACTCCCGAATGAGACGAAAAATAACCTGTTTTCGCCCATAGAGTCGCATCTCAAGCCTATTGACAAGCATTCTACCCCACTCCAGTTCATTGGTCAGAACCCACTGGTAGCCATTCAGTTTGGAATGCCTAATTTGTGGGTGTTCTGTGTCTGTGCATGCATAGTAAGTGTTCTGTGATTTGCATTTGAAATATGACGTTAAAAATATAAAAATAGATAAACAATTTATAAATTTAAAAATTATTACTTCATAAAGCTTCAGTTCAGATATAATAAATATTTATTTCATACAAGATAAAAGAACCTTTAGGTAATATATACATTGAATTTGACCTTATCTCAGAAAAAAAGACATAAACAGAGTTATCTAAAGAATTTCATTATACTATGTAAAAGAGTTTCGCAACTGGTTTTTTAAGTTATACATAATAATAACAAATTATATGATTCTTACTCAGTAGTTTTGTGTAATTACGTAGATTAAAGAGAGTGTGGTAATGCGAACGTTTATGAACTAGTTACTCCCTACTACTTTGAACTTATAAAAGCAAGACCATTGCCTTGTAAATGTTATTATTTGTTGTGTTTCATCAGTGAGAACAATAATTCAACAAACATGTATGAAAAGATTATCAAGGGTGATCTTGGGGCTGATGTGAAAATAATTGACTTAAGAACGGACACTATAAGTAAACCTACTCAAGAAATGAGGGAGGCTATGTATATTGCCGAACTTGGGGATGATGTTTACGGGGAGGATCCTACAGTTATTGAATTAGAACGAAGATCTGCTGAGCTTTTAGGGAAAGAAGATGCTGTGTTTTTGGTCAGTGGAACCATGGCCAATTTGATAGCTAGTAAGTTTCCATTTAAAATATAAAAATATTTTGAAGAAAGCCTATTATTTGTGAATTTTATGACTTTTAATTAATTTGTACATTTTGGAACTCGTAATTTTAAATTTGACTATTTTTTAAACAAGAGAGATTTTAGGGTTCCCAATATTGCAGCGATGCTGACCTGGAGAAGAAAAATACATTTTTTTTAGCTCATCACATCTTGAATTATCCACATGCTGATCCGAATGATGGCCTAGTGTCACACTTGGCTGAGTTTATTTAAGTTTCAGCCCCTAAAGAATTTTAATCTAAACCTGGAGCCCACAGATTGATCACCAAATCCTGAGACTCCAGATCAAAATGACATTGTTACCAAGAATATTTTTCATGAATCTATAGAAAAATTCAACATCTGTTTCATGCAATTTTCAAAATTTATCATACAATAATAATAATAATAAAAGTGCTTTATTGAAACTTAAAAGTTACAAAAGGCCATTGACCGAGGTCCTTCAGCCAATATTTATCATAAATTTTCAATGTATTTTTTTTAATTAGTCCCATTGGCTTTGTGTTCTATACTGCTAATTAGAACCCAACAGTAAATGTTTCAATGTGAATATATATCTAGGCAGAGGAATAAATATCTAATTCACTATTTTAATTAGAAAATTCTGGCTCTAATGGGAATAAAACCAGGGATCCTATAGTCTAGGGAGACGACAGCATTTTCAAAGTCTGTCCAGCATTTGATCTTGTACAGCAAACGTACAGTAAAATGATGTATATATCCAGCAAAACACTGTATTTGTCCAGTAAACGCCATTGGACTTGTTCAGGTTCTTCAAAAATATGTTGAGAACTATCAGAGGACTAGTTGACCAGTGAAGAATATAAAACTTGTATGCAACAAATAATTTGCTATTCAGCTCTTTAACTAGATCTCGGATCGTCTGCATCAAATTTTAAAGAAAGCAAATGTAATACATAATTTACAACAAATGCCACTTGGGAAGCTTAAAAAAAGTATTCTGGTTTCTTCATTACTTTTTTGTGTTTATATTTATATTTGGGTTGGAGGAGCTAAAAAAGGTCCTCACCTCTCCCATCCTGCAAAAAAAATATGGTCACCTTACTATAGTCCAGAATAACCAGTAAGCCACAGGCTCCATTTTTAAAATTATATATTTGTTATTGTAACTGGTAAATTTAGACAATTTTATTGTTCACTTTTACCACAGTCATAGTCTTTATCCTTTTTTTAGAATAATTATAATGACTTTTAGTGTATGTCTTATTTGGAGTATAATCATCTTATATTCCCTTAATATATAGAATATAGGTAATCATTTTCAAAAATTTAGGAGCCCATAGATATTGTCATTATTTTCTTTGTTGTATTTCAGAATATTCAGATTATATAGATTATTTAATCATCATCAGATTAGGTATCTGGGTATCTACATTATATGATGGATGCAATTTTATTCAACATTTCATAAATAATAAATGAAAATAGTCATGGAGGGTTGCTTTTGTGTTCTTTATTAAGAAATATTTTGTTTAAAAATAAAACCAAACTTTGTAATTTAATGAAAACAAAAACAATCCCAAATTATATTTTATACTTTCAGTGATGGTACATTGTCCAAATAGAGGTAGTGAAATAATAGCTGGTGATAAGAGCCACACATTCCGTTTGGAGCAAGGTAAGTTAATATACAATTATTAAAAAGAAGAGTTTCTGACAAAGGAGGTTCCTCATAAACTTTTTTTACTGAATGGCAACAACCTATCTGTGATAATGTTAAGGTCAATTCAGTATGCTGATTGATGATACTACTTACTGTCCTTGTTAATGCTTATTATGGTATTAAATTTATGAAAAATAATTTTAGTAACATATCTTACAACACTATTTTTCATATTTGCATTGTAGGAATTTTATTATTGACCTACATTTATAGCATTTGTATACATCTTAGATGATTTTTTATGACCTACCTTATTAAATCATTATATGATACAAATACTGGAAATTTACAGATTCTCATTTTGAATTCAGAGTGAATAATAAAGTCCAAGTTGAAGTACAATTATTTTTAATTATAACAACAAAAATAAAATATATCTAAGTATGTATACATTTTTTCTAAGTCTAGTGAAATGCATGCTCACATGTTGATTATTTCAACATCAAATTTTGTATTTTTGAACATTTTGTTAAATTCATACTTAATTTGGTTTCTTTATTTTTAAGTAGTGAAGTGAAAACAATTACCTCTCTCTTTCATTTCAGGTTGTTGAACGTTATAATTAAATGAATATAAATATGTAATTATCAAGTAACTGATATAATAAAAGTGAATGATAATTTGCATATATTATCATATGTATTTAGGGCGCAACTATCATAAAAAAATACCTTTCACATACTTATAGGTGTTCTACAGTGTTTTATTACTTCAAATTTCGTACTAAATGTAAAATGTGAATATTATATTATACTTTTTTTTAAACATAAAATTCCAAAGCATGTGGAAATAATATTTAAATAAATCAATTTTTTTAATAATTCAACAAATGAATAAATCAGCATTATACTTTAATCTTATATTTGAATTACTGTAGAGATATTTATGTATTTTTATAAAAACTTTAAGTATTAGTATGACATTTAGAAAGTTCAAGAGTACTGCTCACTCAAACAATCTGGCACTACACATCGGCCAGTGATGGTTGTCATAAGGTACTTCAAAAATATGGACATAAATGATACAGCTGAGATAACTCTAAAAATAAGTAGGCCCTCCTTTGGTGTAACTTTGAAATTATACAGTGTGTGGTAGCCAAATGCAATGAATTCAGTATCTCAATTATTATTGTGCATATTTATAATAAATCTCGAAATATCTTTATTTTAATCAAAGCATTTTATGACATAAAAAATTCTGCCTCCCCACAAAATGTGTCCTATGTATATATCACTTCATTGAAAATGTAATTTTATGGGAAATTCAGCAATATGACTGTTCATTGCTTTAATTTTGATTATTGCGTCCTCTAGCGGTCTAAAAGCTTTTACTTATTGTAACGTGTGACATTTCATTTGATAGCTAATTTTATTACGATTTCAATGCACCACATAACATTAACTTAAATATTTCCATATTGCACTTGCAACAAATTGAAGTTAGTAATAATGCAATATTTTTTATTTCAAGAATTTACATATTATAGAGGTTCAACTAAATTTAAATCGCCTTTCCTTTCTCTAACATTACCCTTTTCTTCTGAATTTATTCTCAATGAAAATTTTAATCATATCGTCAAATAAAACCGAATTTACATTGTCAGATTCAATTGATAAAAATACTAAATCATTTAATCTGCTTTCGGACATATTTGAGCATAAGTATGTTTTAATTGGTTTCAAGAATTGTTTGCTGCCATTTATTTGTAAATTATTAAAACAATATCGTTATTAGAAAAAAAATATCAATCGGATTCCGATCTGTAATCCAGTTGCACATATTATTGATATTTACATGTTTTGGTATTCTAGTGCCAGATACTCTTTGAGGTACAAAATTTCTTCAACTAGATCATCTGACATATCCTATGAATAAACTTCACTTAGTTTTTTTTTACTAAATAAAGTATTTAGTTAATTTTAATGGTTCACTCCTTATTTCACACATTTTCGACGATCCAATTCCAAGATTAATCGATCTACCACTGTAAGAAAAACGTTTATATTGAAATCATCCTTAGCACCGAATAGAACTTCATCATCATCTCCTTCATCGAAATGTAGCCTTTTCTTTCTTGTACGCTTTTCGCTTGCAATGTAATTCTAATTACTAATCACCATCTTAGCCCCTCTTCACAAACGGAGAGATGAAATTAAGGGTTTGTACAAATTCATGGCAAATCCAATATCTGTTTCTTTCTGTTGTAGTTTTTTTCTAACTACATTGATGTGTTTCAGAATACTATTTCGTAAAACAGCCGTAAGTCATTTGAGTATTTTGAATGTCTTTCCACTTTCACTAAACCCTCGCATGACCATCTCGTAGACGATATACTCTTTGGAGTTATTTATCGTTCTTCTTCAGTTTCTCCTAACGCATCGTGGTTGCCAAAAAAAGTTGTAGATTTCTTGCAGAAATGTAAAATAATTTGTAGATTCATTACAATTTTCCGAGGCCAAAAATTTTCCGTTGTAAGCTATAGCCTAGCTAGTCTCTTAAGAAATCCGCTAATGATTAGGATATAATAATATGTTTACTAATAGACTGTCAGATATTGACAGGTTTAGGTGCCCCATTTTAGCATACAAGCCTCGAAGAGGGTTGAAAAGTATGTCGATTTTGAGTAGAATGAAAGGAAATGTATGAGTAGTTCCTGGGGATAACATATGGAAAATTCGATTTTCCTTAACAAAAATTAAAGATATTTGTTGTGTTCACTAAACGATTAACTAATAGAACTAGGCTTCGGAAAACCAAATGCTTTAATGTTGCAAGTAATGAAATAAGAGCGTAATCTTGCAAAAAAATCGAGATTTTTTCCACACAAGCCCATCGAATGTATGAAAATGCACATCGTCACTGGTCCGAAAAACATATTGGATTAAATGACACGAATTGATAAGAGTATTTTGGGGTCGGAAAATATTTCTGTTAAGGAAAATCGAATTTTCCATGTGTCATTCCCAAGAGCCACTCATAAATTTCCTTTCATTCTACTCAACATCGATGTACTTTTCAACCCTCTTCGAGGCTTGTATACAAAATCGGACATCTAGATCAGTCACTAACTGACAGTCTATAAGCAAACCTTACTTATTTTTCAGAGTTATATTATTTATTAAGGTTTTACTTTAATAAATTCCAATATTTTAAAATTTCTAGTGGATTTATCCACACATCCTCATTAACACATTTGAGAAACTCCAGCACCAATAATTCTGACAACGATTTTTTCATAGAATTCAAAATTATTTTCTGTTTTTCGATGATTTGAATACCCAAATCTTTAACATCAACAAGTCACATCTGTTTCACTTGAAGGTATCCTTCCTCGGTACATAATAGTTTGCAATAGAAACAATAGAATATTCGTGATTTCCTTTAAAATGATCTATATTATTTGAGAAACAAATAGTATTTCGAAAAGTTTTATTTGAAACTTGCAGGGGGTGCTTCTCAACTTGCTGGAATCCAAACATATACAGTTGCGAATAAAGAAGACGGTACTTTTGATCTCGACGAACTTAGAGAAAAAATTAGAAAAAATCCTGATATCCATGAACCAATCACATCTCTCGTTCTTGTAGAAAATACTCATAATTTATGTGGAGGAAAGGTAAATTATTTTTAATATGCTTTAAAGGATACAAACAGAAGATTAAAATTAAAGTTTTAGCAATTTTTTATCTTTCACTCTTTTTTTTGTTTTGTAAATTGAACTCCTTCAAAACGTTTATCACTTTTATTCAGTTGACAGTTTCTGCTACAATATTATTATTTCAGTAAACCAAACTGTTATGATTTTTATTTTGTTTGGTTATATCTTTTTTCATGTAAATGCCACTCAAAATTTTTAGGTTTTACCTTTGGATTGGTTAGAAAAAGTAAGCCACATAGCAGCAGAACACAACATTCCCATCCACATGGACGGTGCTAGATTGATGAATGCTGCAACATATCTGAAAGTAACACCACGTAGAGTTGTGCGAGATGTGGATTCTGTTTGTTTCTGTTTAAGTAAAGGTTTGGGATGTCCCATTGGTGCAGTCTTGTGTGGTAGCACAAATTTCATCACAAAGTAAGTTACTTATTAAAATGATTTTTGTCGTTTTTCAAGTTGGGAAATTTTAATGTGGTGGATTGACATTTACATTTTTTTGATTGGGGTGACTATAGAGTTTATAGGGCAGGTAGGGATGGTTCGGCAACATCATTTAGGTATCTGTTTTTAAATAGCCTTTCCTTATACGTTTTTGAACAAATTAAAAAAATGAATTTTAACAAGTTTCAGTTGGTTAGATCATTAATTTAAATGAGTAAGTAATTAATTTTACTGTTTTTTAAGGTTTAATTCAAAGTGAACCAGTTTTTTTGACTATTCAATACTGATTTAGTAAAACACTCCTTTACGTGTTATTTAAAAGTAAATTTTTTCAATGTCTTTTTAAATATACGAAGCTTTTCAAGGTTAACACTAAGCATATTTTGTCACAGTGTTAAAATAATAAATCTTAAACTTATAAAAAATATGCTACTTCAAAAGAAAATGTTGCCCTGAAATATGTTTTTTTTTGTTTTTTCAAAGTTTGCAAAGTTATTTTGTAAGAATTCTCATTTCATCATTTTATTATAGTTTATTTTTATTACATCTTCTAAAAACTTCGCATGCTCTTTTAAAGTTTGCTTACAGAATGTCTAAAGTCAGAGACTTTCGTAATAGTTGTTTTCCTCGAGGGTGTCAACGTCATGAACTATTTAAAAATGATGTAAAATCTTGAAATATTACGTTGGTAACGATTAAAAAAATAATAATTTACGTTTTAGAAAATATTATTTGTTTATGGTTGCTATGTACAGTAGAAGAAATGTATATAAGTACTGTATGTAATTAAAAATAATATTCTTTATGTCTTTTCCCCAACATAAACTAGTTATTAATTATAGATGATAATAATAAAGTCTAAGTTGTATATAAATATCAATTTTTCACTTTTAGATCAAAACTTGCTTACCCATTATTGTTTTGAGGCTTGTTAATAATAACAAATGGTATGACTTAGGATAGATAACACTTTTAGATATTTGTTGCTAATCGGTCAAAATTACCCAATAATGATTAATTATATTATTTAAAATACATATTTTGTTTAGTGACGTTAGAAATTTGCTTATTTATTATTCATTAATTAAATTGGAATATTGTTTAATATAAAATTGCATAATGCCAATTTAAGATATCTTTCATTTTAATTTCCATTACACCTATACTGAATGCAAAGATTAAATTAATGTATTTTCTTTAAACATTTTAAATTATATAATCGATATTATTGACAGGATACTTGCAAATCCAAAAACACACAGTTAAAATTGCACTTTATACATAGGTGATGTAAATATTGGATTTCAAAAACGTTTTATTTGCCGTGGTATTATATTATTATATTGCCTTTAAACGATAACTCGGGATAATCTGGTATTGAAACAAAATGAAATTTTAAACAAGTAATTTCTTTCTCACAAGACCTATTAGATTATGTTTTATCAATAAGTACCCATCATGCCCAACATATTTTTTTAAAAATTGTAAAGATTTAAATTGGTCGTTTAAAGTCCCTGGGGTACACCCTGATACTAATATTGCTACTTTATTGGATATGGCTCTTTTATATGGTTCTTTTAACTGTATCTGTAGAGTGGGGGAGGGTGGATTGCTCAATAGCACTTAGGCTTCATTAGGCCCATTGGTGATAGACAAAAAGGTCCAGAATAGTTCCAGTGGCCATTTCTTGGAATTTTAAAATATCGTGGCAATTTATAGTGGCAACATAGGTAGCAAAATAGTTCCTGTTGGTACTTTACAATCCCTTATACTTTATGATGGAGGGTCTAACTTTATAGTAGTTTTAAAATCGGCGACAATTTTTAACTGTTGCTAAAATTCTCAAAAAAAAAAAATACTTTAATCAAAAATAGACAATAGTTTTGTTAATATCTTATATATTTTTACGAAAAAAGATCGAAAGTATTCCAAATGTTTCCCTAATAAATATTTAAATTTTTTAATCGTGCCTTTCTAAATTATAATGTTAAAAAACTACAAAAAAAAATTATTTTGAGGACGCATTATTTAATATGTCAACTTATATCAAATAGTAAATTGCGTTACCGTTAAAGTACGCATTTAATAAGATACATAAGATCTCCGCTAACGTTACGTTAAACTTAGATTATGATATTTTTCATAAACATTGAATGGGGTAGATTACAGTATATCCCTAAGGTAACGTTAGCAGATGGTTAGTGGATGTTTGCTAAAACTCCTTAATAGCTATGCAATAGTTACGAAATGTCTTATTTCATCTTGCGAGTGAATATTTGCGGGACAAGCAGAGCGAGGTCCCGCAACATGAACGAGTTACATAAAACGGCATTTCTTAACGTTTTACATACAATATTTTTTATAATTTTTACTAGATTATTTATAAAATTGTGTTTTGGTAAAACGTTACTGAGATCTAGACAACCAATATTAATTTCTTGTTAGTTGCATATACATCATTATTTATTCTCAACGACTTGTAGTGTGTTTATATTGCTTATTAAAGTTATTTAGTTTTCAAAAAAGTGAGTTATTTTGTCGTGTATTGTGTTTTAATTATTTTGTGCTGATTTAGAATACCTAATAATAATAATAATAATAATTTACTCACAAAAGATACAATTTTTAATATACTTACATATACAGAAAATATAGTGAATAAAAAACCCCACAGGAGGCACGGCCTGTACGTAGAGTATAATAGAAAATAAGAACCAAAACAACATTATTACTAGGTTGTGAGTTTAACCAAATTCTATTTTTATAAGTCAACCTGCTTATCTTTGATATACACTGTCAATAATAATGTATATATCGATTTTAAAATCAAAAAAAGGTTTATTTATATTTCTCTTCTTTTCGCAACTGGTGACATAATGAATTTTTCGTAACCAGTTTCATATTGCTCAACTATGCAACTGGTTGCGTAAATTAGATCTTTGTGACACTTTATATGTAGAAATTAGAAAAAAATTATAAACCGACCCTCTTCAGACATCAGTCATTATTCTTGAGATTATGAATTTTAAAGAAAGAACTTATTATGTCATTGTTGTCTAAATTTAAAATAATTGGGCGACACCAAAAACAAAAAATAAAATACAAGATTTCTTTTTAACATATTATACTTCTAAAATAAAAGACAAAAAAATCTTCAAAATATGTTTGAAAAAATTGCACGAATTATTGTGGTATAACACTAAAACTTCTGTTTTTGTAATTGGAGCTGACATTGACGTTGTAATTGAAATGAGCCCATATTCGTGATGCACATCAAACTTGGTTGTCTCAAATAAATTATGACTCTATCTCTGTTTAGCGAACATTGACCAGAATTCGACAGTCCGTCATTTTTCTTGATAAAATATAATTGATTTATGTTCGTTCTGTTTACTTAGTTCAATAAAAAAAAAATTGTAGTACATCGGTATTTTTGCAAACCAGCGACATGTCATATTTCAAAAATATTTCAATAAGTTATATTTCTAAAAAGTGTTAAATGAAAAAGTTATCTTTTACAGTTTCCTACCTACTTACCAAATTTAAACAACGAATTTAATTTTTTCGCCTTTTCTTAACCTAACAATTTTTTGTCTTATTCTAATTTTTAAAATTCAAGAAGACTTCAGTGTTTTTTATGCTTAAAAATGTTTCTACATGGATATTCATATTTGATGCAAAGTGGCTCTAGTTTCAACATTTCATAGCAAAATTATTTTTTTAATTTTTATTACAGTACAAAATGGCATTGCAGTTAAGAATTATCATAAATCTGAATTTTCAAATTTATTTTCCAATCAATAGATCAGACGAAATTATGAGAAACTACCTAATTCATCGTTATTTTTTTGAAAATATGTCAAATTTGATAGGTATAGCCGATCGATAGAAAATAATCTTCAGCGTCATTTTTTATTATTTTCGAAGCAAAAACTGTTCATGACCTCTAAATTTGCGTAGGTACGATGATCTTCCATTTCGCAATAAACATATTCTTTTTTTATAATTTCATTTAATCACAGAAGAAATTTGATCATATGTTTATATTTGACCTTAGATGACCTCTTAAAATTTCAAAATTTTATCAAATTATTTTTTAAACAAATTATTTTACTACCAAAATGGTATTGTATAATTTTCGTACTTTTTGATTATTTTATATCTGCATGTGATAATAATATTAAGAAAAAAAAACTAATTTAAACATTAATTTTGAATTAAAGTTAAGATATTGTATTATCAGAGAATAAAAATTTCATAAATTGTAACCTATAGGTCTTTTCCTTTGCATCGAAAGTGTAGCACTGAGATACGCCACTTCTGAAAATATCGTTCTATCCATACATATTGTATAAATGGAACGATATTTTCAGAAGTGGTGTAGCTCAGTGCTACACTTTCGATGCAAAGGAAATGACCTATTGTAACCTAAATGTTAATGACATTTATGTAATTTAATTTTTTTGATGTACGTAGTCAAGAGTATTGCCCGTTATTAACCGAAATATCGGTTACTCGGTCCAAAACTAACCACTTTGTTTGACATTCCTGAAAAATCGGTTAAATTAGGGACGCGGTTACCTGAATATGGTGACTCTAACGTCATTTCACTAACCGCTATATTTTTACGGTTACTGTCACGATACACAGACTAACGGTATGTTACTGCGCATGCAGCTGACTGACGGTGACGTCACGTGGGACATAGAATTATAAGAATTAAATGGGAGATAGTGTTTAAAATTCGATATTTTGACAATTTTAGATTTTATGCTGTTACTTAAACTATATTGGTTATTTTGTAATATATTCGTTTACAAATATGAAGGTTTAAAGTAAATAATACTAATAATAGTATATTATTAAACGAGCAATTTATGGTAGCCATTATTCACGCAGGGTGACGTTTGCGTCCCGAGCCGTAGGCGAGGGGCGCAAGTCACCTGAGTGAATAATGGCCATAAATTGCGAGTCTAATACTATACTTTGTCCACGACCATTATGGTTTCTTTATTAAATAAAAGTTAAGTGTAGAATGGAAAGTTTTTATTAACCATAGGTAACTAACTGTTGTTTTTACTACTTTTCGATTTTTTGATTTATCAATTTTTTGATATAGAAAATATCGTTATGAAAAGTATCGCCTATCTTTAGTTATCTACCGGAATGTGCCAGAATTACAAAAGCGTGAATTATCATAATTCACTCCGTGATATATGGGTACTATATGCTTTTAGTTAGGAGGTAGAATATTGATTTATTATTAAGTGGTCGTGGACAAAAATATTAATTTTTCTCATAAATTATAGGTATTTTGTGACAAAATCTATGACCTGGTCATAAGATAAGTAAAAGATATAGACTAAAAATACAAGTTTGACTCAAATTTGTACTTTCTGGGCGTGGTAGTTCTCTTGCAATCTCTTTTCTTATTATGTGAAATAAAAATAAGTGTACAGAAACAAATTATATATTTATAAAAGTAAGTACACAAAGAAAATACTTTTTATTTGGTAAATTTAAACATGTTTTGTCAAGTTTACTTTGAAAATACTCATAACCAATTTTCCTGTTCATTTATCTTATTCTTATATATGTTCGTATCCTGCTCATGCATGGCATTACTTCAAAAGGACCGTTGTATTGGGACAGGAAACTACTGTTTTATCTGCTAAAATTTTAAAATACAGATTTATTTTCTTTGCTTAATGAGACCCCCGTGCACCTGGAGTTCAGTTTCCTTTTCTTGCGTCTATGTTCTCACAACTACTTTCATCAAAATGGATAGGGCAATTTCAGTTAAGTTTGTCCTTTCTTCGATAAGAATTTACCCATATTTTGTGGAATTCGGAAATATCTCCACTGCGCAGCCCGGCATTTTAAACATTAATTTAGTTCTTCCCTGTTATATATCGGAAAATATAGTCACTACTAACACAAAAACATATAAATTATTAAATTATTTTACACTACTCAATCGAAAAGTATCAAGATAACTTGAAAGTTCGTCCCGCATTACGTCATGCGCGGTTTGGACGAATTTTGAATAGAAAATAAGCATACCTTTAGTATGTGTATCCTGGTTACTATTAAGTCGAATGTCAATCTCACAAAACTGACGTAAATCTGGGCAGTGGTCCAAATGTAACCAAGAAATTAGTTTTTTTTTTTTCAGGAACCGCTGTCAAAAAATCCTGGTTACTTGCGGTTAGTAGTCTGTTAATAGAGAGTTTTAGCAAACATCCGCTAACCATCCACTAACGTTACCTTAGGGATATACTGTAATCTACCCCGTTCAATGTTTATGAAAAATGTCACAATCTAAGTTTAACGTAACGTTAGCGGAAACATTACGTACATTTGCTAAAACTCTCTAATATCGAACCATACCCTAAAGATATTCAAATTGCGGTTAGGGGTGACCGGGGCACAGCTGTCACATTTTTTCAAAACACGGCCGATTTTATTTATAAGGTACTACAGACCTAAAATATTTATATTACCACCTCTACTGTGGAATATGATCTTCAACACCCTCATCAGCCGCCTCAATAATGACAGTCACTACACAATAGCATATGCAGATTACCTGCTCATTCTGCAAACAGGGAATTTTAAGAACATACTCTGCGAACGAATGCAAGTAGCTCTAAAAATTATCGAACAGTGGTGCAAGGACCATTCACTGTCTATCAATCCTAAGAAGACAGAAATGGTTCTTTTCAAAAGGAAAAGGATGAAAATGGAATTAAAACCTCCAGAACTCCTAAACACAAAACTAAACTTTGCAACAGAGGTGAAGTACCTAGGTCTCACCTTTGACAGCAAGTTAACATGGAACTCGCATTTAGAAAATAGAGTTAAAAGAGCATACATTGCTTATGAACAATGCCGCCGAACCGTGGGACGCATCTGGGGTTTCTCCCCCAGAGTCGTCGCAAGGACTTACACGGCTATCATAAGACCTGTGCTAACATACGGTGCAGTTGTCTGGGTACCGAAAACCCCAAAATTAACAGCTATCCGTAAACTAGAACAAATTCAAAGAACAGCATGTCTCAACATTACAGGAGCCATGAAAACAGGGCCATGGAAGTCATTCTTAGTCTCACTCCCCTGGATATTTACATCAAGGAGGTTGCTCTGACGACAATGACATGCTTCCGCACGGTTGGAATAGAACCTGATGTAGGATCTGATGAGGCGAGACGTCGCTTTTGGCAGGAGCGGTCGATACGCTCCCACTGCTTCAAGCTAACATGGTCTCCATCTCACCGAGATATATCTTCCATAAGCCATATAAAGTTATAATAGAACAAATAGAAGATCCGGAAGTGGCAGGTACGATTTATATCGACACCGACGGTTCTAAAACAAAACAAGGCTCAGGATGTGGAATATACTCTAGATTATTAAACCTAAACATAAAATGGGTTGTGAGCAATAGTGCCAGTGTAGTTCAAACAGAGCTAACGGGGATTCTCATCGCAGCAAAAGAAATAACCAGAAACTGGAAGGAACATGCTCATCTATACAGATAGCAGACAAGCACTACTCACCCTGAACAGACCACGAATTTACTCAGGGTTAGTACTAGAATGTCACGAAGCTTTGGCCGAAGTATCCATCAACAATGTGGTCACCTTAAGATGGATCAAAGGTCACGCCACATCGAAAGGTAACTGTCTTGCTGATTCACTAGCCAAGAAAGCAGCCAGCCAAATACTTTTTGGACCTGGCCCTTCTATTGGCCTGACAAAATCGGTAGTGACAGACCTAATCAAAGATCATTCCCTTGTGAAATTCAAGGAAAGATAAGATGAAACAAGAAACTGCAGAGTTGCCAGGGAGCTCTTAAGTTATCCTGACAACACTGCAGCAAACAAATACTTGACTATGACTAGACAGAATCTGCGCCTAGTCACAGGCATTCTGACTGGTCATTGCCAAGTACGAAAGCATCTCCATATCATGGGGCTGTGAGAATCAGCACTCTGTAGAGGGTGCGAACAAGAAGATGAGATCATCGAGCATATACTTTACGATTGCCCGACTCTCTCATTTATTAGAAGATTAGTGTTCGGCGAGTATCGGCTAACACCGGCCGATATAAGAGAAGCACCTCTTGGCGACGTTGTCAACTACATTAAATCTGTAGGCTGGCTCACGAGCTAGGAGTTGCCTATCATCTCAGGAGGATTCACAATGGGCCTAATGAGGCCTAAGTGCCGTGGGGGTAACCCACCCTCCACACGTTACAGATACAAAACAGTGGCATAAAAGTGAGTAAAACCAAAATTTGATTTGAAAAAATGTAATATTGTATGTCCAGTGGGATTAGGGTTGCCACCTTTTTGAAAAGTGAATAAAGGCCCTGCTGACAGGGGCTCCGGTATACAAAAAGTCCTCATCCTTCTACTGAACTTCTAAAAAAAAGGTCGCCGAGCTTGTAACAAAAAAAAATCCAAATCCTCCTTGTCATTCTACTGAGCTTCTAAAAAAAGGTCCTCAGCATATATATATATATTTTTGTACAAACCATGTCCCTTTCAAAGATATATGCTGCAAAAAAAGTCATTTTCCCTAAAAAAAAAGACATTTTAAGCTTAAAAAGTCACAAGAACAGTTTGCTCCAAAAAAGAAATGTCCTTTTCAAAAAAGGACAAGTGGCAACCCTAAGTGGGATACAGTGACACATATTTTAACTAGACTTTATTCATTTAAATACCAAAAACAAAAATCCAGCAAAGTATTTACGTTCGTAATATTATGAAGTTTCAAATTGACATTGTATTCTGGGCGTGCTGCCAAGTGTTTTCTGATTCAGGTCAATGTCATTTTTCTGAATAAGGTCTAAAACAGTTCATAATGCTGCAAGCATAGTTTCGCTTTTTCTGTTTTTCATCATATTTCCACCAAATTATATAAAACGATGATGAGTACAGTGGTTTTTCCTAATATCTCCGTTGGATCCGTAGAATATTAATACATGTAACAATAAACTACACAAGGAAAAGAAACTTTAGTCTTTTATGCCAAAAATGACAAACTCTGAAGATCGAAAAGTTATTTGACACTCACAAATTTGGGATTAGGCTTTTCTCAGAAAATATTTACCTTTCTCTACTAAGTGAGCATATTAGTAACAAATTTAAGTAATATTTATAGGTGATTACTGCGCCCCTATGCTTACTGTACCCTGATCTCCCTTAAATTCATAGTTATTAAAGTATTCAATTCAAAAATTAGATTCTACTTTTTTATGTTATTTATTTTACATAGCCATCGAAATAAAAAAAAATCATAATTATTGTATTTTATTTTTTGAAATCTTTTTTTTTAAACAAAAACGTTTCGTTTCTAGGGCTCGACGTGTTAAGAAAGTATTAGGCGGTGGATGGAGACAAGCTGGAGTACTAGCCGCTGCTGGCTTAGTAGCAATAGATACTATGATAGATCGTCTGAAAGTAGATCATGAACATGCCTATAAAATTGCCAAAGGTAAATATTTAAATTTAACTTAGGCTTTATGCATAGATGTATTTTGTTTATTTGATTTTCTACGATTGCTTTCACTTTTTTCTAAAATTGCTCTAATATTATACTGACATAATTCATCAAAAATTAACAAATCTGTTTCATAGGTGAAAGAAGTATGAGATCTTTATTTTTTTTGGGTGGTAATGATACATATAAAACGCCACAATATTTCAAAATAAAAATTTTATTTATTTACTTTCTTTTAAGATTTAAAATTTTAGCACATCGTTCATCAAGTAATTGTAGGCCATGAAATTTTTATTTTGATCTGCAAACCATTCCTCGACTTCTATTAACTTTCATGTGTTTCTTAAGTTTTAAGAGTAACTAATAATCCGATAGTGCTAATTCCGGAGTATAGGGCGGATGGTCAATCAATTCAAACGCAGTCTGATGAATTTTTGCATCGTAATCAACGACTTGTAAGCAGGAACATCTTGCTTATTTTTGCATCTTGTACTAATTTTTTTCAGGTCTTTCTGACTCTTGTTTTCAATCTATTGTCTTTCCTTTTTTCTCTTTCGTCTGTTTTCTTCTTATTAATATTAGTGTATTGGGCACTTTCATTTTCTTCTGGCTTCTCCATATTTTTGTTCTTTCCACTGTATCGAATGCCGCTTTTAGGTCTATATGAACATTTTTTCACTTTCTATTTTTCTCTCTATCAAGTTTCTTAATATACAGGGCGTCCCAATGAAAAGTAGCCCATTTCCAGAGCTTATAACTCTTAAACACCTAATGGTAGAAACGTACAGTTTTCGCTGATATGTGTTATGTTACTATAAGTTTTGCTTCAGTGACACAGAAATTTTTTAAAAATATCCTCTTTTATAAGCTCTGGAAACGGGCTACTTTTCTTTGGGACACCCTGTATATGTTATTGTTCGTCTGCCTTTCTGGTCTAAAGCGCTTTTCCACAATTTTCTTGCGTAATATAATATGCATCTCAGTTAAATATGTTTCCGTGGTAGTTTTACACTTTTCTAAATGATATATCAGAAATATTCCATCTTTGTCCCAGAAAACTAAAGCCAAAACCTTGCCGGCCGATTTTTGAAGACGGCATTTTGGTCGCGGAGAACCAGAATGCTTCCATTCTTTGGATTGCTCCCATTCTTTGGATTGCTCTTTAGTTTCTGGGCCTGTGGTGATATACCTTCCATCACACCTTTATACTTTCATTGCGTCAAACACCCGTCATGATAACCTTATATTACGTGGCAGTACTAGTAAAAGACAAAAGATTAAGCTCACCTCTGTTGCCAGGAATCAGTCATTTACATTATTTTCACTTTCAAATTTATATCCTACATTTCCTTTCCAAATATATAATGTATCCTCTAATTATTTACGATGGGATCCTAAGTTAAGATCCCACAAGGCCATAGTGATTGTCCCGGGATTTGTTCATAGTAACAAGCTGGTCCAAAAAGTTCAAGGCTTCTGACTACTAAACGACGACAGTATTCCTTTGACTTTGTCAACCAAAAGTGCTTCTGATCAGTATTCAAACATCTCGGAATTCATTTGGCCGTACTCAAGTCGTGATGAACGATGTGAATGAAACACATGTTCATAGGAAATACGTATGCAGTGCTTCTGATACACGAATATCTTGGACAGAATCGATGTTTTCTGAAATGGTCTCAGACCATCTTTAACATCTAATCTACAACCCAGTCTTTAACCTCTTTCTGTACCATATATCAAAGGGTTGACTCATGCTATGCGCCCGTCTGAGACCATGATGCAAACGGATAATCATGCTAAGGCCTTTATAAAATATTTTCTTGTCATTGCCAAGTTGACTGTTGAAATCTGGTATACAGAGCATGCGGCGTAAATAGCACCTGGTAGCGAAGGGGTTAATTTTGGAACATGACGAATACTGATTACCTAAAGCTTCTGTCATATCAGCAAAAATTTCTTTATCCGATAATCCTTTCAAAAATAAATAAGTAAATGACCGAAACTCAATTTTTTTCAAATCTAGCTATTTCTCATACACTATCTTCAAAAACTCTCAGTTCTATCACCATTCAATAGTACTTTGTTTACTAGAATTTTTCTATGCTAACTAAATACCAAGATGTCCTCGTATGTCAAGAGTTTATTGAAATTCCTCCATTAAAAACTTTACGTGCTAAATAATTTTTTTATTTTTTTTTTAAATTACAGCTATTTACCATACCAGATCGAACATTTTCAAGGTGCAATTGGCTAAAGTACAAACCAATATTCTCTTGATGTACTTAGATACGACTAAAGTCGATATCAAAGAATTACAGCGCAGACTGCAAACGGTGTTAGAGACAGACGATGTGCGCGCGAGTGTTAGATGTTCGTCTTTGAAATCTAATTGTGTTAGATTCGTGTTATATCATGAAATTACCGACGAAGATGTACAACTTGCTATCGACAAAATTCGATTGGTAATCAGAGAATATGAGGAAAAGTTTAAAATTTAAGTAATCAATTTTCGAATAAATTGCGTCATTGATAGATAAGTGATGCGACTAAAAATAAGAAAATAAGAATTTTTGAGATTTGATTAAACTGGAACTTATTTTTTTTTATAAATATGTGGACAATATGTATAAATTTGTTTTTGTTTCCTTTTATCTTTTCTAACCTCGGAAGTTTAGGATCCAATCTTTTCTTTGTTTTATTTTTCTTCGTGATTTGGCGTCTTGTATTATTTGAAGTCTAAATCCTCATATATTTCGTTCTTTCCATCACTTTTACAGGACCTGGTGTGTCTTCGCTTTTGTTGACAACTTTCCTCCATTCGAATCTATTTTTTAATGTTCTTCTTCCAATCTTTATTTTCTTTCTCTTGAGATCTGTTTGTAAAGTTCTTTCCAGCTCAATTTCGTGTGTCCTCTCGATCTTGTATTTATTGCGTCCATTTTGTGATAATTCTTTGTGATGGTGTTTTTTCTTTTATATTTACGAGATGTATTAATTTTTTGTGCTAGAAATACTCTTATTACTTTTTGTGTCTTGTCAATATCATACTATCAAGTTTTTCATTTTGTTCTATACTTTTAATGTAATTTTATCTTATTTCTTTTTTGTCAACTATTGGATTGTTAATGAATGGTGCATCCCTTATTTCGTCTGTTTACTATATCTTTCTCTATTAATCCATCATTAATAATTATACCTTCAATTTATTCGTTATTTGATATTTTTCCCCTTCCTTTACTTGTGATGTTTTCTTTGCATTATCATATTAGATGTTCATATATTATTATAAATTAATTTTATTGAATTGATTAAATTAACTTCCAGTGCAATCTTTTCAATCTTTTATCCACTTTTTTAATAGCTATTGCATTTTATTTAAAATGTCTATAAATTCCTAAATTTTAACTTTGCTTTGCTAAAAAATTTAATTAGAACGTGTCATTTATCTAGTAAATTATTAAAATTCTTATTTTATTATATGAAAGAAAAACTAGAATATTTAGCTGTGATAGATTATATTACAGAATTATGTGTTAGTAAATAATTTTTTAGGATAAATTTCTTATATAAAGAATATGCATTACTAGATATTAGTAGACTAAGAATTCATCCCTTTGATGCATAAGTAAATTTTAAATGAAAGTTTGGAGAAAAAATCGCTGGTCGATTTAGTGTACTATAATAATTTTTATATTATGGCATATTTGCTTTATATAATTTTCTTTGGTTCTTTTCACTGCTTTTACTTTTGAATTTTTTGTGCTTATTTGTAACATGTAACATATGTGATCCATAAAAAAATGTTTTTAAAGTAGGCCATGACCGACAAAGACAGAGATATGAGTCATGTCTGATAACTACGTATCTTTGAATTAAATCCAAAATGTCCTTTAAAAATTAAGAAGAATTTTAACCTCCAATGTGCGATGTGCCCTACTTTAACAACATTTTTTGATGATCACTCCATACTTAACAAAACCATTATTTCTTTACTTACGTTGATTTAACATGTTTGTTTTTATTTATTTAACCTCTTGTAAAACATGAGATTTTTATTTATATTTTATTTTTGTACATATTTATCATTAAAAACTTAAAAAAAAACTGAAACTTCTTCTTTTCTGCTTTTGCATGCTTTTTGTAATTATAGTTTTAAAATATATAAAAGAAAGTTTGTATTTGTAATGGTGATTAGAGAGGTTTTCCAGGTTTTCCTGTCCTTGTATCAACAACTGTAAATCCAATGAATATTATTTTGAATCCTACACAATATAAAGACGCCTTGGCTGTTTTTGCTGCTCTTTTATATTTTTTCCTCACTTCCTCCTCCCCACACAACAATCAATACTGGTCGTTTATGGTTTACCTATTTACTTCTTAATTTTACATGCCCAATAAAGGTGCTGTGTGTCCGAAACTTTTAGCTACCAATACCTATCTAATTACTATTACCAAAACTTGTATAATCCAAAGAGCGATCCACAAAAAAACATTTCTAGAGTAAGCTACGAGCAACAGAAATACGAGTTATGTCCATGATAACTACGAGAACCTCTGAATTAAATCCCAACTGACAAAAAGAAGATTGTTCGCTCGACTTGCGTAAATTTTTCCAAAGGCTGCTTTAGAAACATTTTTTGTTTATAGCTTCTATTTAAGTGATTGTTTTATGAATAGTAATGGAGCTTGAGATAATATTTATAGTGTATATTGTGTTCTGGACAAAAAGCATAGATTTGACATCTAAACAAGATATATGTTTATTATCTCTATGTACTGTGTCATAGGAATGAAACCGGCATATTTTTAACAGGCGATTAATGATAAAAAATAAAGTGAAAATGCCTTATATAGAAATTGTGTCCTAAAATCAACTGGTTTTTTAAAGTCCTCCACATCTCACAACATAGAAAATTGTTCCACCCTGGACAGGTAAAACTATTTCAATATTTTACGAGCACTTAGGGTTGTGGCTTCTTACAAACATTTCCAAACAACTGAACAATAATATTAAAAAAAAATTATTTTGAATTTAAATAAAAAATCTTCCACTTCGCTTCCTTCTCCCAGTCATCTTATCGTCTGCTCTAACTTCTCACTTTCTATATCTTTTGGTCTCCTGCTCTAACTCCTATCTTACTTATTTCACTCCTCTGACTCCTGGTTTTCTTTTCTATAATACTTTTTTAAATAAAACTATACCTTCTCATCGCAATCTTTTTAACATCTTATAATATTATTAGTTTTTCTTTTCTAATCGATAATTCCCAAAATCTAATGACAATGCAAATTCAATTTTAAAATCCCCCATTGGCGTCAGAATCCTAAGGCCATTCTAAACAGCTTATCAACGATACAGATACAGGTAAATATGTCGCTAACTTCTATCTGACAACATTATGCACCATCTCTGGCTGAAATTCAGTATTTGTATAAGTATGTTCTTTTCAAAACATTGCGGTCCTCTCATCTTGGCCTCTGTGCGTGCGTGCGTATGTATGTAGGTTAGGTTGAAAATGAGTGGGATGATCTAATCGCATTGCGACCCAAATGGATTTTTTGTGGTCATGTTTAACTTTAATGAAGGCCATAGTTGAATTGGATGAGACCTGTTTAAAGTCTGTAGGTTCCAGTTGGGTGAATCCGAAGATGTGGATCCTAGTTCTTTCCAAAGCGGAGCAGGTACATAGAATGTGCTCTTTGCGGATTCGTCTTCCACGCTGCGGAATCGATAGTCTGATGTTTGTTGCAGACCTATCCTTCTCATGTGGTTTCTCGTAGATCAATCCCACTCTATTCCCGGATCTGGAATGGGTGAAAACGCCTTCGAATAAGCCAGCCTTGGGATATCTCTCTAGTTAGTGAGTGTTACACACCCGTCCATTTTGAAATAATTCTTTTGGCAATGCTCTTTGCAATGCCCAGGAATGTTACGTATGCCAGTATATGCGCCGACACGATAACATTAATTCTGACTGCTACTAGGTCTCTAAAACAGAAATATTGTAAGTTGGGGATGTCTAGACCATTACGTATGTATATACATGCCTTAGTGTTTCCACATTGGGTATTGTATATTAACTTACCTTTGGTTTGTCCGAGCCCCATCACATACCATTTGTAGATGCACGATTCTTGTATTAGGGCTACGTCTATGCCCTCCCTGATAATGGTACGTGCAAGGGTTGCGGAGGCGGCCTTGCAGTGCCTCAGAATAGCTTGCACTATTCTGAGCAACTGAAGGTTCTTCCTTCCTCTCCCTTTGCACTCTGAAGATTGCCTGAGTAGGGTTTTAACTTTTCTAAAGCCTTTAGAGAGTCGTCGTCAATCAATAGAACAATGGTTTGACCGTTGTCTTCCACTTGCCTATGGATAACTTGCCACTGTTCCGTCTGGAGCCCTTGATTTTGGGTTTTGAGAAACATGAGTACTTTTGTTGTTTCCATGTTCTGGGTTTGGGTACCCAAGCCACAACTTTATTGGTTCAGACGATCTCGCTAGAAGGTCCCACCTTAAGTTGTGCTCCCTGCCATTGTTGAAGATTATTTCGGAGAGCCAGATCTTAGTGGTTTCATTGGCACATATCAAGAAGAGAGCTTCGTTATGGAAGTTTCCCTTCTTTAGTTGTGTCCCTGTTGCGCTCTTCAAAATCTCTTCCATCAGTTCTTCCTGAGTCTTACCCGCTTGTTCCCCAGTGAGTTTTTCCTTAGGACATTCTTGAGGCACCACAGCCATTTTCATAGGCGCTAATGCCTCTTTGTATGACAAGCCACCTTCTACCGCTTGCGCTGCAAAAGTGGTTGCCCTTTCCCTGTCTGGCCCAGTTTTTGGCTTCTTGGGTTGGCCTCTTGCAGTGATTTCCGTTGATAACTGTCACTTTGAAAGTGGCCCCGTTTGAGTTAAGGAGTTTGATTTGGAGTTCGCTTAGCTCCTTTCTTCTCCGTTAGTCGCGTCAAATTAGCATGAAAAAAGTGAAAATGGACAACTTTTTGCGGAGAGGTCCAATTGAGATGCGGTTTTCTGCAAAATGTTTAGGAAACCGTCTATAACAAAAGATATATCTAACCTCTGTACGCTCGCAAATTCTTAATTGTTTATTTAACAAATGAGGCATTTTTGTTAGAGTGTTGATGAATGTGTGGCAAATGTCACACACGGTTCAACGAAAATGTCTGGAAAATTTTCTCTCGGGGGGTTTCGAGGTCTCTCTTTATCACTTTTGTGTCAGATTTATTATTTATTGCTAAATTGTTGTAACTTGGATAATTAACAAATGAATGACTTCAGATTTGATTATTTTTGCAAAAATGTAGCATCTAAGAAGACAAAAGTACTCTTATGCTCTTTACCACCTACTGAAGATGCAGCTATACAACACATCAAGAAAGTTTATCTCCAAATTCAATGCTGGATGGGAAACATTTTGGACATCAGTGACTGGGGCTGGGAATTTGATACTAGGAAGAATTTTTACAAACCGATTTCGATGACTAATGAA